GAACCCACATGTTTGAATCTGATGTTATCCCGGAAACTGGGACAAGGAGGTGGCATTGATAAAACTAATTGTCAGTGAAACACAAAAAGCCACTTGCAACAAACCTCTCTTATGTCTGAGAACCTTTACAGCTAGTGCGTTTTCTGAAACTTATTGATGAGTTTACAAGGTTGCATATTGTGATAGTTTCAAAAGGTCAAAGTAAGGCAGAACACCTCCATTAATCATTAATGGTATTCTATGGGACTGAGGATTAGAACATAGAGGAGAAAAATTTAGGTTGAACTGTCCTCATTTAGTGTTGAGCTGTGTTTTAGGATGTCAATACAGTTGTTTTATCTTGCTTCTAAAGTAGAGGTAGGAAAAACATCTGGCAGTGATAAAGCAGTAGGTTTTAGTTCAATGTGAGAAAACTTTTTTATAACTGTGGCTAATGAATAAAAGAAATGATAGCAGCCTTTTGAAGAAGTGAGTTTATTCTGTCATTGTAAATATACAGATGAATTTAAATAATCATATATATTAAAGATACCTGAGTTTAGTACAAGATTGAATCCTGAAAGTGATATTTAAGATCACTTGCCAGGGATTATAAATTAGTCTCTTTTAGAAATTGTAAGAGATTATATGGATTTCCCCCCCCCAAAGCTTACTGTGTTTTAAGACATGCAAAAAAAATCTCTAATAAGAACTTCTTTTTCCTTTTAATGAACATGAGCTAACTTTGTTTAATAAACTTCCCCTATAAAACAAACAGGTCATTTTTGTCAGTACATTCACTGTGACCATTCAATAATACGAAAAGCGAAATCCTGTATTCAAATAGGGTACTACTGATGAACATTTTGATGACTATTTTGTTTCTAACCTTCGAGGTTCAGATTTCTTATTTCACCAGAAAAGTAAAGTTTCATTTCATGCATTTGTGTGTGCATACAAAGGTAGTGTAAATGGATACTACAGATGATTCCCTGTTAAATAGATTTAATCAATTCAACTACTTGTGTTTGCACACAAGTACTTTAGAATTCATGGATATTATATACTGCATGAGGTATACAGTTTTCTGAATTTGAGTCAATGGAAAGGCAAACCGATGAGAGAAAAGTGGGAAATTAATTAGATGGGCTGCATAAGGCTTAAAGTGGTTTTGAAAGCATTTTTGTTGGAACTGTCAGCCTTAGGAGAAGAAGCAAGGGAGGAAACTCAAAATGGAGGCATTGAGAAAGTTCAGAATTAAAATAAAAAATAATCTGTACAGGAAGCTGTTGCACCATGATCTTTCAGGTGGACTACCCAAAATATATTGCCAATAAAAAATTCGTTTATTCATGTAGCCAAAGAGAAGATATCTAGCTTGCAAGGCTAAGCAAATGTATGTTAATCATTTTTCTCAATTTGCAAAAAACAGTAGATAAATATTGACATTAATTAGCAATGTGATGAGTGCAAATTGATCCCTCATTCCATGATATACTGCTTAACAAATGCTTTTTTACACCAGCTGAGCTTAGTCCAATTCATATAGTTAAATCACATCTCAAATGAATTGTAAATGGCATGCTCTGTTCTTTATTGCTCCATTCGGTTATAAAGATAGTGATCTGGACTTTGATACGGCCCCTGTAAATATTGGCATAATCTTAGTGACTCTGATGAAATCTCATCGTGACCCCTTCAGTACCAAATGTTTACAAATTTCATTAGCAGAAGTTTTGCTTTTTGCAATAGCATGCCCCATTTTTTATCTTTGTTGTGAAACATTCTCGTAAGTCATGTCTAACTCTGCACTTTTGAAAGCCAATTGGATTTACTTTTGGGAAATCTTTACTGCTTCATGCACCTTCTTTCAACAAAGCTGACGATATTCATTCATACGTGCAAGAAATATTTTTTGAGCCTTACTCTGTGCCAGGCACTGGGTTCAGTATTGAATTTGAACACACATGGAGACCAAAATAGACACATCCTGGTCCTCATGGAAATTACTTTCATTCTAATGGGGATAGACAATAAGATACTCACTGTCTTGTTACAAAGGTTACTAAAATTGGTATTTTGGATGCTTTCATTAATGTTATAATCTTTCACTAAAGCATAATTTGATCCCCTAGAAAAGCTGTTTGTATACCAGGAGCAATGAATAGATTCTAAATAACACTGACTTGAATAAACACTTATGCAGGATGCTGGGAACTGTCTCAAGTTGCTATTTTCCTGTTGTGTTCTGGAGAATCATGGGCTTCCGGAGCTCTATTGGGCATTTTATTAATACATTGTCATGATTTCATTTCTTTGGCATTTTTGTTTCTTTTCTGTACTGGCAGGCTCATCTGTGTCAGAAAAGGTTAGTCTATTTGGTAGTGCTTTAAAAAAAAAAGACTACCTTTTAAGAATATGATTTGTAGGGTTTATTCAAACTAGTCAGATTAGATATTGGTGATTTCAGAGTAGTGATTTACTTGAAAAATTAAACATTGGTGAGCTGGTTTATAAGAAGCTTCTCTGGTTATTGGAGAC